TACGTTCTAATTTTCAGGATTTCAACGTTCTAAAAAATATTAAAAAAAAAGTATGTTACTCAAGTAGGCAATAGCCTATAATAGATAATAAGCCCTTTCAAATAGACTTTACCGTCGATTCGTAATTCAATTTCACCACTGAAAAGAATCGATGCGAAACTCAAAGCATGTTGTTTGTCCAATCAGATGATTTTATTATTATTTGTTTATAGTACCTACATATAACTATCATGTAATCAAACATACTTAGATACCTAGTGGGAGACTTTTAAAGACCCTAATGTAAAGAAAACAATCTTGGTAAAAATGGCGTTTCGATGTTTGTTGGTTAATTTTTGTAATTGAGATGAAGGCCTATTATTGGCCAATATTGGCCTTATATAAAGTTGACTCTATTAAAAGCAACAGTACGACCCTTTATTAAAAGCTAACTTTCATTTCATCTTAAAAATAGAATGTTAAGTCACAAAGGCGTCTCTAGCCCTTGTAGCGCCCATGTGCAATCATTACCTTACCACTCCCTAGTTAGCGCGCGATCTAAATGGAATAGGTACAAATAATAAATAAATAAATATGTATATAATAAATAAATGTACCAGGTTTATTGAAAACGCAGAGGCCGGCGCCACTGCGTCCGTGTGCAACGCACATTCTGCACTATAGGAATACTCGTCTCTGTCAGTTCATTTTAAACTGTTAATTGAATATCTTTTTTTTATGTTTGAGAGATTACTGGTGGTCCGGAGGCCTTTCCAGTTTAGCAGGGCAGGTGGGCGAGCAAGGGCTCGGCCATGAGGGATGGGATTTGCTAACAGCTACCCGAGCGCCTCCAAAACAGACCTAACAACTCAAAAGTAGCTGCTTCGCGAATGAATCTACTACCGGATCTGAATCGCGATTCGCTGAGAAGATCCGGCGAAAAACTCAGCAGGCTGATGTTTAGGTTAAGTTGCACGTCGAACTCTTTGCCAAGTTCGACGAGTACGGTTACCGGAGTCCTTACTCCTTGTGTTAGAGCTAAAGGTGTCTAATGCAAGGGTTATTGGATCTGATGGATTCGTAGGGACGTGAGTTGTATATCTACATTCTGGACAGATGTATATGAAAGGTCTGCCTATAGTCACGTTTGACGGCTGACGTTAGTCTTCCTTGAAAAGTTCTTAAATCTCCTATTCTACTCCTATCCCTAAATCATAACACCAAGAAAATCTGCTATTTTATTTCAGTCCAAAGCAGATAAGCCTACAGCCCTCATCGATAAGTGGTTACCGTCGTTTACAATCATCAAAAATACCAGGAGCCGAGGACCGCACAGCCAAACCACTGTATGTTCGTAGATTTATTTCAAACTTTGTTTGAAAGACATTTCATTAGCAAACACCAAGGCAGATCTCATTCGTATACTGTATAGGATGTGACTAGAATTACCTTTTGGAAAACAATGTCAATGTACTAATATTGAAATAAAACCATGTAACGACATCTATCGGTGCCTTTTATAAACGTGGCAAAACTTGCACTACGATGGGTAGGTTAAACTGCTAATGATTTTAAAACTGCGTTAAAAAGTATTTTTAAACTAGTATTCTGAAATATACTTTTATTTCAATGGAATATTAAATAAAAAAAATCGAATACGTATACTTTGGTTCCTGGATAATACAAAACATACCAGCGCAGGGTTGTGTGGTCTTCTACTTGTAAATTGAATTGAAAATCGTTTCACTAAATTAAATACCAAAATATAAGGACGCACGCTTAGCCAAAATAAATAATATATTAGGTGTTAAAGTATGAAATTGCCGATTTCTACTGAAAAATTGAAATTCGTTTCTTTTTCATTTAACATATATTTATTTCATCAAAATATCTACCATTATTATCTATACATTGCTGCCTTTGCGATAGAACTCTGGTGATCTAGATTCTACAAACTGCGTGAAAGCATTTTGTACTGCCTGCTGGGAAGAAAACTTTTTATCACGTAGAAAATTGTCCAAATGACGAAAAAATGGTAGTCCGTTGGAGCAAGGTCTGGCGAATACGGAGGGTGACGAATGGTTTCTAATTGTAGTTCCTGTAGAGTTAAAATGATTTCACGTGCTGCATTAGGTGCGTTATCATGGAGCAATAATGGTAAAGATTGATTAATGAGTCGGGGCTGTTTCATTGCAAGTTTTGCTATTAACGCAAGTATCACGCAAGCATTGCATTGTTCCGAGTTCGGCACAGTAGACATCTGTCGTTATTGCTTGACCAGATCAGAGAAAGCTGTAGTGAAAAACACCATGCTGAAACCGCCAAACAGTTACCTGTACCTTTTTATTGGTAAGCTCGTAAGCTTTGCTTTAGGACACTGTTGCAGCGTTTGACTTGGGGTCAGCCATTGCATTTTTCGCTTACGGTTATCGTAAAGAATCCACATTTCATCACATGTCACAATTCGATTCAATATTCCTTCATTTCTGTATCGATTCAACAAGGCAACACAAGTTTTAACACGCGTTTCTTTCTGCAGATCAGTCAAATCACGAGACAACCATTTTTCATTATTTTTTTTGTTTTATCTATTTGACGCAAATGGGTCAATATTGTTGGTAAGGTAACTTTTAACCATGCCGCTAGTTTCTGGGTAGTTTGGCTCGGATCGACTTCCACCGTCTCTTTCAATTCATTGTTATTCACATGTACACAGGGGGTCTTCCACGAGGTTCGTTCTTCAAATCAAAATTTCCATCACGAAAGCGTTTAAATCAAAATCGCACAGTTAATTAGCAATCCCCTCTCCAAACGCAACATTGATATTGCGAGCTGTTTCTGCACCGTTATTTCCGCGTCGGAACACGTATTAAAAATCACTCGAATTTTCGAAGTATCCATCTTTCTTGCCTAAGCTGAGTAAAAAAACAACTGAAAGTCGACAGGTAATGGAATATTGCGCATTTTTGAAAAGAAGAACGTCATGGGTACCATTTGAAAAAGTTACAATCAAAAATCTCAAATCATGAAGGTTCTATGTCAATTCGTAGTAGGTACTTACTACAATAAAACGTCAATTTCATACTTTAACCCCTATTATTACAAAACTTTAAACGCCTTTGTGACGCTTGTTGCAGTTTTTTTTTTGATGTTTCAGTTTAATGGAATTAAGTAATAGCAACTCTATCGCTGAAGAGGATTTAGACTTTTAACGGGAAAGCGATGAATGAGATTATGTGAATTATGTGAAATTATTTATTTCTTTTCGTGTATTTAATGGACATGCTTGTTAAGAAGGCGTTTAGTACACGATTTATGATCTGAAACAGCATAACTAAATGAAAAAACTAGCTGGAAGTGGCTCATGAGATTGTTCGAGAAAATCCATGGAAATCATGGTAAATTTTCGCGTTTTCAGTAAGTAGTAAGTATATCATTTAACTGAATTTTATCAGCTAAACGAAATCAATTATTTTACTAAATAAAGTTTTGGCTTCAAAGACTAAGGATAGATTTAGACTAATTTTTATTAATATTAAAATACCCAGAAATACCACCATAAGGATAATGAGATTTTCCTGCTACGGCAAAAAAAGATTTAATAAATTACTTTTTTTTTGTTATTTCTTAGATGGGTGAACAAGCTCGAGACCCACCTGGTGTTAAGTGGTTACCGGAGCCCATAGACAACTACAACGTAATACCGCCACTCATATTGAGACAAGAGTTCTAAGGTTCAGTTGTAACAGTACAATGGCTGCCCTACCCTTCAAACAGAAACTCTTTACTGCATCATGGCAAAAATAGACAGGGCTACCTACCCATGCGGACTCACAAGACGCCCTACCACTAGTAATTTGATTTGATTTTTTGTTACCATGTTTGATTTTTATTACACGATGTTATTACTTCACCGTGGAAGTCAGTCGTGAACATTTGTTTAGTACGAATTTCATTAGAAAAATTGGTACCCGCCTGCGGGATTCGAACTCCGTTGCATCGCTTGATACGACTGCACCGGACGTCTTATCCTTTAGGCCACGACGACTACATAATTACTACAGGGACTACAGGGACTACAGGGAATGTTTGAGGGTCCAGGTGATACGGATGAATTCTGTATCGGTAGCGGGTGGTGCAATGGTTGAATGTAGACGACGAAATCATTTCTTCAACAACCCTCTAGAGGACTTTATATGTATGTACAGTACAAAAGAAAAGCTAAGAAGTCACTTCGTTAACCGAAGCGTTTCTAAATAATAATATTATTGTTTATATGAAAAATTATTTCTCGATAAAAGTTTAGAAAGGTTTACATGCACCATCCCAGCCTTCTGAATTGGTATGGTAACATGTGTACGGTGACGGTCGGTATCAATAAACACTTATAATAATCGGACATCGTAACACTAGTCTTCAATATTGTTATAATTTATGTTAACAGCGGTAGGCAGTGGCTTGGCTCTGCCCCTGGCATTGCTGAAGTCCATGGGCGACGGTAACCACTCACCATCAGGTGGGCCGTGTGCTCGTCTGCCTACAAGGGCAATAAAAAATAATAATAATAATAGCAGTTCGCATCACCTACTTACTACAAGATGAAAAAATGTGAAATGCAAAATAAGTAATTTCTTTTAAGAAACCTTCACTTTTTTACATCAGTTTAGTTATTCCGAATGATATTTTGACAAATCGGTGTATATTCTGTTACGTATTAACATGTTGAAAATGAAAAATTTGGACAATGGAGTTAAATATATTTAGTTTTAATATTTTATAGTAGGCAGCAGCTTGGCTTTGCTGATGCCTCTGACATTGCTGACGTCTATGAGAGACGGTAACCAATCACCATCAATTGGGCCGTATGCTCTAGGACAATTAACAATAAAAAAGTTCTATATAAATCTTGCTAAAAGAATGCTTCTTAAATTAACTTTATCTTGTTTATTGTCAACATTCCTGTACTGAAGTATATCATGAGGATTGGGTTTTATTTATGGTGTTACTTAATTCTAACATACCATTCAAAAGCATTGTAGTGATAGTAGCAAAGGCCTAATCCGTAGAGGAACAGGGGATCTTTCCAGTTATCTTGCTCCAGTGCGTAGAATTTTTGGTAAGCCGACATCGCTGTAACAAATGTATTAGTTTTATTAAACATGAATAAAACTAGGTCTATCTATCTCACGCATTTTTTGCAAATCCCTGCCATGCTGTTGCAGGATAGGATATGAAATATACCCATTTTTTCAATACTCAGGTGCCACCTTTCAGTGCTAAAATGTTACCTGAAGTGTCAAAAACAATAGTATAAATTTTCAACTCAATAGGACACAGAAATAAAAATAAGACTGACCAACAAGTCTTATATCATTTTTATTCAATATTTTAGTAATGTTCAATACCTATTAGTCACTTATTGTATAAAAAAGTTTATAATTTTAATCTTGTGCTTCATCTATTAATATTATATTTTTACTATAGTTCTGATTATTTTATTGTATTTATAGTCTAGGCAGACTAATTAAAAAGCTTTCAAACTGCTCTTTAGCTTAAAAATCGAGGTTAGATAATCAATTGATTTTTACTGAGCAATATTATTATTTAAAAAAATCGAATCTATTTTAGTAGATTACAATTATATTACTGTTTCCTATTTTATATATATATACTTATAGTTTCGGAACAAATTAAGAGACAGCCTTCTTGTTCAGAAATCATTTACTACACCCCAATGAGCATTCATCAATTACATAAGGAGACATTTGGGTATTTTTGAGTCCCTCAATTTTTCATATAAGGACACTGATTTAAGTATCCTCTTCTTTCTTATGTAATAAATCAATATCTATTTTTCACAACTAGTTAAAATACACTACTAAAAGTCATAATTTAACATAAATTTATTTGTTCTGATATAAAACTGATAAAATCTTTTGAATGATATATGAACTATATTCAAATTACCTTCAGAAAACCTGTGAATTCCATAATTATAACAATATAATTCAGTCAGGGCATTAAGGTTGCATTTTAAAGAAGATTGAAGTAAAATTAATAAATTTCAATATTAACCTTTTGCATAGTCTTCTAATAATAAATGGAAGTGGCCCAATTTACAGAAGGTTTTTGGATCTATGCATATGTCACGTTTGGCCACAGGTGAACATCCTCTCTCTTCCTCCTGCAAAAATAACGAAGTTTAAATAAAAACGTAAAATTATTTTATATATCGCACCATTCGTGGAAAAAGGTCGCAAGTGAAAAACTCGAACTTTTCAGGAACGTAAAAAAACTGTTTTGTTAAGAAATGGTAAATCCTAGATGAAAATGTTCTTAAGAGACTTCACGGATAAAATTAAGCTGCATATATATCTGTTATTGATTTAAAACAATTTTGAGTAGTTTTCGAAATAATTTGAAATTAATCGGTTACGTCTTTAATCCCCGTTATGATATTATGACTTTTAGGAATAAGTAAAGTAACCGCTTTGTTGCTACGGTGTTCACACGAATCATAGCTTCGTAATTTTAATTACGTATTTCTTGCCGACAAAATTGACCTAGCCTATGTATGTGTATAAAAAAATACGCCTTTGTTGCGGAAGAATTAAAATAGAAATAATCATAGTAAATGAATTTATATTTTTATTACAAGTTTAATAATAAAATAAATATGTCTGTATCACTAACAACTTACTTATTCTACTCTGACAGAAAACGTTAAAATATATTTAATAAATCGTTATTTTTTACTAAAACAACATTTGTTTGCTATTATTTATGTGAAAATTGAATGCTTAAGGTAGTAATTAAATTTAAATTGTTAATATGAACATATTGAATGAAATCAACCAGATTTATTAAACAAAAGGACTTGATAATAATGTTTAAAAGTAAATTAGTCAATAAAATGCTCAAGACGTACATAATCTTTTATAAAAACCAAGATAATGCGATCGTATGNCGTCGTACACAAATTTTCTACCCTTTCTTTTAAGTACTACACCAGTTTGTCACGGCATAGTGTATGTTTTATAAAAAATCAACAAACACTCAACAAATAGCAATGGCAACAAAGTCCACAAGCAATTATAACAAATAACTTAACGATTAATAACGATAGACTTTCCACTGTACGCAAGCGTACTTTTGGGAGCAAACGGAATGAGGGCGCGGTGCGGGACGCAAGGTTCGACTGATCTACCAATAACGCGCTCGATACGATTTCCCCTGCCGTCGCGCCTCACCCTCACCACCAAAGTGACCTAAAATTCGGTTCTGCGCAGTCAAGGTCATTTCCTCAAGAAGTTTGCCGATTACTATAGTTACTTGTATAAAAAAGTTTATAATTTTAATCTTGTGCTTCATCTATTAATATTATATTTTTACTATAGTTCTGATTATTTTATTGTATTTATAGTCTAGGCAGACTAATTAAAAAGCTGTCAAACTGCTCTTTAGCTTAAAAATCGAGGTTAGATAATCAATAGATTTTTACTGAGCAATATTATTATTTTAAAAAATCGAATCTATTTTAGTAGATTACAATTATATTACTGTTTCCTATTTTATATATACTTATAGTTTTGGAACAAATTAAGAGACAGCCTTCTTGTTCAGAAATCATTTACTACACCCCAATGAGCATTCAATTACATAAGGAGGCATTTGGGTATTTTTGACTCCCTCAATTTTTCATATAAGGACACTGATTTAAGTAGCCTCTTCTTTCTTATGTAATAAATCAATATCTATTTTTCACAACTAGTTAAAATGCACTACTAAGAGTCAAAATTTAACATAAATTTATTTGGTCTGGTATAAAACTGATTAAATCTTTTGAATGATATATGAACTATATTCAAATTACCTTCAGAAAACCTGTGAATTCCATAATTATAACAATATAATTCAGTCAGGGCATTAAGGTTGCATTTTTAAGAAGATTGAAGTAAAATTAATAAATTTCAATATTAACCTTTTGCATAGTCTTCTAATAATAAATGGAAGTGGCCCAATTTACAGAAGGTTTTTGGATCTATGCATATGTCACGTTTGGCCACAGGTGAACATCCTCTCTCTTCCTCCTGCAAAAATAACGAAGTTTAAATAAAAACGTAAAATTATTTTATATATGAAAATGAGTGTTGTAATAGGAGATTTGAATTTCATGTACTAAGGGTGTTCAATAATCAAGTGATAATTCAATTATACTTTATTAAATTTTATGTTATTTTGCGACATATTCATCTTTCAGGGTTATATACTTAGTATATCTTAGTTCTAAAGCTAAAATTCCCTTTTTTTTAAATCTTCATCCTGATCCCTTCAAAAATCGTGTACCGCGGCGACAACGTTATAATATCCAAATTAATGGCCCCTAAGGTGTTCTTTCCTTTAACCGCGGAAATCACTAGGACCTAGGTCCGCTGAATATGGAGGATTTTCCATTAATTCGAACCCAGCTTCTTGAATAGCAGCGATCGCAACTCAGGATTTGTTGCAGGGGCGTTATCTTTGTGAAACAAAACAACTCCAGCGAATTTGCGACGCCATTGCTTGCGTTTTTTCTCACGCAAGTTTATTATTTGTCCTGCGTACAATGTTCCCATGTAATAGTGGCTTCATGATTAAGATATTTGATCATTTGCACCCCTTGGCTCTCCCAGAAAAAAAGCAGCCCAACATCATGGGCTGTTTTTCCGTTTCCGGGACATACCGGTAAAGCCATGATTTATTGTCCATTGTTACGAATCGCGTCAAAAATTAACCCAAACAGCTTTGTGAAATTCTATCTCTTTTGTTTCTGAACGTCAGTAAGCATTGTAGTCATCCAGCACTTTTCATACCCAAAAAGTTGTGTATAAAATTATGGATACGTCCTATAGAATTCCATATATTCTGCTATAAAACAAATAGTAATACAGCACCACAGCACATCAGCACACCAATGGGCAACTGTAGAATATGGAGGACCATGAACCCTTAATGTTATTCTCAAGTATTGATTTACTAGTTCCGTTGTAAAGAATTTCAAGCAGAGATACTTTATTACTGGCCGAATGTTATTTTATCCATTTACAGAATACATGCTGACACAACCCAAATTGATGACTTCAATTTTTTTTAAACTAAAGAGTATTGATTGCTTTTTGATTATTATTATATCTAATGCCTGGGCTGTGCTAGCCAGTATTTTTTTTCCAAGGAGAATGTATTGCATTATCACTATTTGAACACTACTCATATAAATTGAAATTAAATTTATTATTATTTTCTGCTATTAAAATTTTATTCACTTCAAATTTATTCTAGTCTTTTCCAGTCTTACAATTATTTTAACATAAAGTTAAATGTATGTGATTTCTTAGTTCACTTGACTTTAAGTAGTTACTGGAATCCACAAACACTACAATGAGAACGCCACATTGGGACGACTGGGTAATTAAGCAGAAATAGGTAGGTAGAGGCGGTGCAAGATTGTGCAGCTGTAAATTGCGTCCTACCTATTGTGCTATTGCTCTACAAGTCAAACCCGATTTTGGAGGGTGAGGATTTAAAGGAAAATTTGTTGAAGATGCTAATAATAGGGACCAGTTGTGGTAGCTTAGGATCACCAGGGTATCCTCACTTAAGTATGCTAATAATTATATAGACCCAGAAAAAAAAAAATTTATAAGTTTATACTATTTCAATTTTACGCTCATTCAATTATCTCAGGTCTCAACCTCCCAAAAATACAAACTATAACATATATATTTCATTTATAATTGAATATCATTCTGACTAAAAGAAAGGTTGGAGGAAGAAGAGGGTTTTTCATAATATTCCTTTTTCAAATTACTTTTTAATTTGTATTTTTACCAATTTCAATAATGATACTTTGAGATTGTGTTCTATCTTCTTTAAACAGTTTTTCATAGCCTAATCGGTATCCCAAATGTGTATGTAAATATATCATGTCCAAATTTTTCATGTGAGTACATCATCAAGCTTCTTTTTTTCACTAGTGAAAACTTGCCTTTATTGAACTAAGTAAATTCAAGTTATAGTAATACATACTGGTTTGCACAAAGACATTCAGTTTAACAATGTATTTTAAACAGACAAAATATATAAATATATAATAAGACAATATATATTCGGACTTAAAAGTATATTTATTGTAACAGATTATACATGAACTCATAGTTGACTATAAACTCACCTTAACTTGTACAAGCATCCCCTCCAAATACTTGACTGCCTTGAGGACAAGAGCGCGTGTCCTTCCATGTTCAGTCCCACGCAATTTCAGAAACCCAAACTGACGACTGAAATAAATATGACTAATTAAAATACCTTTTAAATAGTTGAATTTTTTACTCTTGAGATGTAGTGCAGGATTATAAATATTTTTTAACAATATCTTACAGAAGATAAGACTTTTGTGATGCATTTTCAATTGAATTTGTACCCATAAGTCAATAGATGCATGGGGCACTGAACATGTTATAGTATTAAATTTAATTCCCTAGTCACTAAAATTCCAAAGTTATTTATAGTGTACAGCAAACTTCTTGTTGTCTATTCACCAAAAAAATTCTACAATTTTTATTAAATCAATCTCATACTTATGGTAAACTCAATTTTAATTGGTACTTATTGGTACATATATTATATTCATTGAAACAATTTTTAGTGAAAAAAGCGTAAAAATTACTATTGATAGTTTTTCAAATAAAAGCCATAAAGCTGATACTGAATTATTCACATCGTAAAGTTTGTAAACTATTGCATTTTCACAACAAGCATCACTAGGATAAGTACCTGTCAAGTTCAGAAAGAACTTGCAATTCTGGTGAGGTTAAATGTAACTCCTCTTTCTCATCCATGGTTCCCACGTATGCTTAGCTTTATAAATAATCTTGAAGCCCGTTTATAACATGTTAATATTGAAATATTATTTAAAATTACTATACACAAAGCGCGGTTTTAAATTTTATGATTTAAGATGAACATTAACGCAATTGACAATTATTCTAATGTTCTAATGTGACGTTTGAATTATAGGAATACAAACAATTGTCAAAGTGTTAAGATTACGTTTTGAAGATATAATTTTAGTCGAGCTTTACTAAAATCGAAAACCTATTCCTAAGAAGGTTTTTATTTTAATAATAATTAAAGGAACTACAATCCGAGTAATAATATTCACTGTTATAATTTAAATAATAACGTTATATTATCTTATCCATTACTAGTGTAAAAATTAAATGACAATGTTATAGTAATGTTGAGACAGTAGGTACCTAAAATAATGCAATGCGACATTATAAGCGGGACTGACTTACTCAGACTTACTATCGACGCGGCAACGCTCTCAGCATGTCCTTATGGGTCCGCTTGATTAATAACACTCTTATTACATGCCTGCGTCTCTAGAATTAAGAACAGACGTAAGGACTGGTAACAGCACTGGTCCAATTGTACAGAAGTGGAATCTAACCCTTCACATCACCCCGCTGAGTTTCTTGCTGGACCTTTTCAAATTCAGGTTTTCTCTGAATCTGAGAATTTGATTAGAAGTAAAAAAAACCTACAGCTAACTTTCAAAACCTCAACCTAAAACACATTTGTTAACCAGTTTATTGACCCATTTAAAGACAAAGATATACTAGTTAAAACGTTTATGGTGTTATTCTATTGTGGCCTTGTGGCACATGTAAATGTAGGTTGAAATTGTTGGTGTTACTTCAGCTGCTGTCAAGGTTAACTCAAAGTTATAAATAGTTAATTAATCTTAGTGTGTCTTTTTTGAAAACAAAAGTCGAATCTTGAGTAAACGATTTATTTATCATTATCATTTTAATCGATCCCGTCTCTATTTGAAAGGAAGTCATTAAATATTAAGTGTATAATCTATGGTCATTAATATAGTCTGTGACGGCCGTGACGGTGACGGGTGAACTACAGAAGGAAACGGAGTACTAATACAAAACAAGAGTGGTAGATATCGCATTGCTATTACCGACCGCTCATGTTTAATTTAATTGTACCCAGAATTATTGGGGTTTTGCAAGTGTACACTTAAATAGTTTCGTAATACTTAAAGAAACAGGACTCTTACAAGATGAGTTATCGTGACACGGTGAGCTTAATAATTGCTGTTTTAAAAATTGTATTTAACTTCACCAATAAAATTATATAAAAATATAAAACTGAAACGCTAACACTTAGTTATAACTGCATTGATTGTTCCACTGAATTTGTTTAAGAATCCGGAAGAAATTAAAACTGAATTCCTTAAATCTGATCTATTTTTGCAACTATATTACTCACAGGTTTCAAGGTCGTTTTGAACGCATATCAACTTTCTTCAACTAAACTATTTATAGCAGGGTTTTATAATCCACTTAAATAATCCTATTTCTTTGGAAAGAACAGTAAATAAACTATGTTGTTTTAATATTTCAATGCATTTTGTATCCTCCACGAAATTCTTCCACAGTGTTTGTACCCTCGACTATCACGACGCTACACCACATATAGTGATGATTATGTATGTACCGAAAATTTGTACAAGAAAAGACTGCGTGTTTTAGTTTTTTTTATGATTTAACAAATAATTTGCTATGAATTTTGAACTTAAATCTTTAAAAAAACAACTCATCTAAAAGTGATAAAATACTCAAATAAAAATCTTGATTAATCAACTTGTGACCTCAATAAAATAATATGTGATGTCGCATAAACTGACCATAAGCTGACAATACTAAAAGTCCATGATGATACTGTGGATGATCACCACAACAAAATGCTTTGTGACATGATTGCCAAATAATAAATACTTTTGTAAAAGATACAACTGAATGGATTAATGTCAAACTAAATAAGTCACTATAAAATGCGACAACACTGCTTAGTTTCGAAAATAAGACCCAACAAAACTTTTATATCCTAAAATTAGAACGGTACTCTTAGTTTATAGGCAACAAAATCAAGATATTACTACTGCTCTGTTTCACTAAAGAAAAGCCTTCAATAAGTACTGAAAACTTGGCCTGTTACATAAAAAATCTGAGTGGCAAGTCAACTTTGTGATTTCTTTATGAAAATTGATCCATCTACGGAAAGGAACCTTATTTTAAAAAAGAACATTATTAATGCTACAGCTCAATATAAATCTGAATTTAAAAACGTTTTAAGAACAACAAAACAAGAAAAAGTTTTTAAATTGATTAAACCCTTTCCTAAAGCTAACAGTAATGATTGATTTGAATTGTGAATTAGTCAATAAATTGGTTTTAGTTTGGAACCTTGTAACATATCCTGTATAATTCTTTGCTAATTACCATTCTATATCCATAGTTTTTATATCTCTTCATATTTCTGGTATATATACCCACCAAACAAAGAGGTTTAACTGTATAAATGTATCATTTACTACATTTACAAAAATTGTTGCCTGATCAATGCTCCTGTTCATAACCTAGCATAGTAGAAATTAGAATAACAAGTTATTGAAATCTCTAAAAACAAGCCTAAGTTTTTTATTTATTTATATAAAAACTGTTTTTGGCTTATGACCACAGCAAATTTTCTCTATGAGACTTTCATCTTATTGTCAGCTTATTGTCACTATATGGTACAGCCTATAGAATGATAACAAATTATTTATAAATGTTCCATTTACATAATATATTTTACTTTGAAATCAGTCTGCTACAAAGTTCTAAATTCTAATACTCTGCAACCTTTTTTGTGCTATTCTTTAAAAATGCTTTAGCAATACCATTTAATGTGAACGCATTATCATCAACAGTATTCACTTTTTCCGAGATCTCATTCATACTGCGCAGCTAATGAGCAACGTGTAGGATCCTACTTAAGGACCTTGATGGTATTTATGTTTATGTTTATCAGCGTGTCCCTAGTGCACAGTTTTAATTGAATATTGTATTATAAATATGTAGTTATTTATGTTTATATCATTTTAAATTGTTCCTGGTTTTATAAGGCATGCTTTAGAACTTAGATGGTTTGCATAAATTATTTGGCTTTTCATTTACAAACTAGCTATAATTATAGGTTCTATCAGAGGCCCAAGATGTTGTGATGATTATTATAATTTGTTATTATAGTTGCATGGCATACACAAGGTAATGGAAATTAGTTAATGGTAAATATTGGCAAATATGTATATACAAAGATTTAAATTGTAGTATAATTCCACCACCAAAGCCAAAGTTTCATAAAATCATCAAGATCAATGTGAAAAAAATTACAGATCACAAGAAGTAATGAAACTGGTTTTAAAAAAACCTGTGCAACTCTAAATATGCTGGTCTGGTTTTATTAGTAATACTAAATTATAAAATAACTCGTTATTAATAATTACATAATTGTATTACTTCCCAGAATAAAATTCTCTATTATTTACTATTAATATGTAATAAATGAAAAATTTGACTTTTAGAGTTTTGGCTCCTCACCTTCCTCTGTCTTGGGTTCTCTATCATCTCTGCGCTCACGGCCCTTCACTGATGTTTCATACAGCCCAACTCCTGATGTTAATGAAGTGTATCCGGGATTATTTGTTGGAGATGCGTATGTATACAAGAATTCAATAACAATAATTTTCCTATTTTGATAATATTGACTAAAATTAATTTTTTTTGTTGTAGTGTTGCAGCTAAAGACAAGGCCTTTTTAAGGCGTATGGGCATTAATTACGTCTTGAATACTGCAGAAGGTAAACGCTACACTCAAGTAGATACAGATCATCTCTACTACAGAGACTGTCCTGGTTTGAGATATAAAGGTTTTCAACTTATGGATCTTCCAACTACTGATATTTCAAAGTATTTCCATATTGCTGCCAATTTTATTGATGAGGGAGTATCAAGTGGAGGTTTGCAAATTTTGTACTATATTTATCTAATACAAAAAAGGACCTGTTGTATAGAAAAATCCTAATATGTAGTAACTTTTAGGTCGCGTCCTCGTTCACTGCATGATGGGCGTCTCTCGTTCAGCTACATGTGCACTTGCATTCCTAATGATCAAACGTGGAATGTCCCTCACAGAGGCACTGTGCACTGTACGTGCTCGACGTGACATTCATCCAAATGATGGCTTCCTTCGTCAGCTTCAGCAACTAGAGAGGGACCTACGTATTACACGGGTTCGCTGACCTTACACCCCCAGTCAAACATTCAATTTTCCATTTGAAACTTCATTTGGGAGATATCGCGTGCGCAGTCTTGATCGTAATGGCTATCGCCATTAAAATAAAATAAATATTTCTAAAATAAGTGGGTACTAAATAACTAGACGAATATTGCGCACATTAAATTGAATTCTCAAAGAATGTTAAATTGAAATGTTCAATAAAAAATTCAAATGTTATCAAAATGTATTGATAAGTACTTTACATAATGCATTATTCTAATTTAAAGAAATTATATAACCAAAACCTATCTAGATTTTAGCTCCCTGTCGTTAGCAATTTAAAGTCAAATTTAATATTTTGTTTCGAAAATATCACTAGAGGGGATACCGTATCTACTGACACGATAAAAATCCCGTAAATGAGTTGAAGATAAAGCTATCCACTGTAATTTTTCTGAGGTTTCAGCATTTTACTAAATAAAGCTCTAAACATCGTAATTTAGTATGTACACTGTTGAATCCATATAGCTAACTAATAATTATTGTATGAAAGTAAATTATTTGTAAATATAAGTCTATTTTCAAATAAAAATATATATTGTGAACCTGTTATATAAAAACCTATTAAAAAAATCAAGGCAGTTTTTGTCATGAAACAAAAAGGTATTGTGAAAATATAATGAAATTTTTTAAGATCAGGTTGTTACTTATTAACACTCTTGTTTCATGTCAATGAAAGCACAAATCTATTAGAATTGAGATTACATTGTGTATATAAAGTTTTTTTTAAATGTACCAGAGTTAAATTAATTATTTATTTTTTATATTAATTAATATTTTGAAATAGCACTTTTATTTATCACTAAGCTATTTTTCGAAACTTGTTTATGTTGGTCCATAAGAAAAAAAAATTCAATATAACAAAAAAAATCTTAGCTAAATAACAATAAACTACATTTGTGTGCCATTTTGTAAAAAAAATTGTGATAGATTAAATATTCTGATTTATTGAAGAAAAAAAAACTAGTCTTACCATCTATGTTGTATTGAAGCATTGTAATTATAATATAATTACTAAAGTACAATTTATAGCCTTTAGTCATTTGATGACTTAAATGAAATGCAATAATAATATTAAAATTCTATGTTTCATAATTAAGATTAATCTTAAAGACTGGTGAATAAATTCACTTGTAATATGAGTTATTGACCGTAGAAGTATTTAGCTTAGTATATATGTCAATGCTTCTAGGCAAGTGTCATGGTCTGTAAACATTCATTGTATATTTCACAGTGGTTGCCAAGACTCAACTGTGCCACTTGGCTGCTCATATGTGTCATTAGCATCTATTTTAAATGAAGTCTTGTCTACTATGCAATTGAGGGACCTGTTTTAATTTATTTTTATAATTAATATTTCTATTTCTTAAAATATTGAATATTTTATTAATTATATAACAATTAGTAGTAGTTTCCACAGGAAATACAATGCACCAAAGAACTAGTGTGATATGTTATAGTTACTTTTAGTAGTGGAATGGTTAATTTGGTGGTATTGATTATAGTTGCTAGAAGAAAGTTGAAATATAGGTACACAACCGTATTCTTTGATCGTATTGTAAACACAATCGGATAAAAAAAACCCTGTCTAAGCCAGGATTTTTATGGACAATAGCAACATTTCTTTTTATGGTTCTCATCAGGTTTTTATTGGTCCGCACGCAAGAGATAATAATAGTATATTAAAAGCTTATCGAATTATGTGTCGTTTTTTTTAAGTAGCATAGTGCATTTATATTTGAAGTCGTGGCCTAAAGGATAAGATGTCCGGTGCATTCGTATCTAGCGACGCAACGGTGTTCGAATCCCGTACCAATTTTTCTAATGAAATACGTACTTAACAAATATTCACGATCGACTTCCACGATGAAGGAATAACATCGTGTAATAAAAATCAAACCCACAAAATTATAATTTGCGTAATTACTGGTGGCAGGTCCTCTTGTGAGTCCGCACCCCGCCTATTTCTGCCGTGAAGCAATACCTAATTCGGCTTTAAGGGTGGGGTAGCCTTTATAACAATACAGACTTTAGAACTTACATCTCAAGGTGGGTGGCGTATAACGTAAATGTCTATGGGCTTAACACCAGGTCGGCTGTGAGCTCGTCCACCCATCTAAACAATAATAATAAATGTATATATATTTTTGCAACAAATGTCCTATTTGTCTTGATTTTTTATGTATTTGTCCACATTTCCAGTTGTTCAATTAAATAGTTTATGCAGCATGCCATCATAATCATGTATCACATTTAAAAGTATATCAGATTTATTTCCAACACTACACCAATGGTATTAATTAAAATACAATTGATGTTTCTACAAAGCTTTTCATATCCACAGACCAAGGCTTAAGGAGCTATTTAAGGTACCAATATTACGCTTTTTAACCGACTTCAAAAGAAGTTATCAATTCGTCCATAATTTTTTAATCTATGTATGTTCACCGATTTTTCGAAAATCCTTGAACCGATTCTCTGAGCATGATTAAATTGAAAACTATTTATATTGTAATCAAAACTAGAAATTAATAGAAAAAAAAATTGCCTTAAAATAAAAAAAAAAGTAATTTGTACAAATATTTAACCTTGGTCAACATGATTATAAAGTACTATACAAGGCTATCAGAGCAGTTCAAAAAAATAAATGGTCCTTTAAACTTTTGAATAAGGTCGAATGTCTCAACTTTATTGTATAATGCCTGTGCTGCCCTTCTTTTTAAAACACATAACTTCTTTATAACCAAAAATAGGCAAGATAGTGTGTACAGTGTGGGCTCACAATATAGTTAAACTATCATTAGGTTAGTCGTTTAACGTGTTTAATTTTGATGACATGTTATTCCTTCAAGCAATCCATTAAAATGTATGTAGTGCCTACATTAAGGTATAAAATGTAGCTGATATAAGCATGCATTTCATTTCATTTATACATTAAAAGAAACATTGTTCGAGGTAAAACAAGCTATATTACATCTATAACAAAAAATTAGAAGGTCTACAAATAGGGTCTATTCATTTCAGTTTTCTTGGCCTTTTTATCTCGAGCTCTAGGGTACCAACGATGTTCAGTAGTTAATGTTAGGTTTGATAGTTGTTTTCTTGCAAATTCAGGTTTCATTTCATTGAAGACTCTTTTAACTTCATCTAAATCGGTCATTTTCAAAACTGTATTATCTTTACTTGTCTCTTCTGGTAAAGCTCTTGAATGCTCGTAAGGAAAATCATAGTCTTGATGAAGAGCTACAATGGTAGAGCCATCGTCAGTGATCACTATTTTATTGTAGAATCTACTTAATGCCACTCTTGGGATTAATGCTATTTTGCGAGTTAAATAGGACATTTCATTTATATTTTAAAGTTAAATCAAGTCCACTCAAATTCACTCAGATGGTATGATGGTATGTTTTTTTAAGGGATTTTATGACCTGGTAACTGAGACCTTTAAGTTATGTCTTCTTCTAATTTATACTCTTATTTTTATGAAAAATAATATAGTGAAATGAAATGAAATGAAGATGATTAATTTGAGACATTAATCAACGGGGATGAAATTAAATTAAATGAGATCAGATGATACGGGATGAAATATAATCTCAGTAAAATGGTGGTTATTTACTGAGATTTTTTCAGTGGACTTTTTGGAGGATCCCAAGAAGTTACGTCCAGCGGCTTTGTTTCATTTTCCCACATTTGTGCACTTTCACAGATATTAAACAGTTAATAAACCAGCGTTATTACACATTTAAACCTGAAGAAACACTGATTTGTTTTTTTGTTAATTTGGTGTAATGTAGTAGCTTAAATGTGTAATAACGGTGCTTTATTAACTGTTTAGTATCTGTGAAACTACACAAAAATTGGGAAAATGAAACAAAGCCGCCTGACGTAGCTTCTCAGGATCTCTCAAAAAGTCCACTGAAAAAGTCACTGTAAATTACCACTATTTGACTGGTTAACACCACGTGGGCTGTGAGCTCGTCCACCCATCTAGACTATACTTTAAGCCATACCCCATACTCATTTCTCGTTACATTTCATCTTAATTCATTAATTTACAAAGAATTAGACCGTAATTCTTATTGACTGTATGTTGTGACACCATCGCCTTGCCAGTTGAAAAAAACGGATCTACTACCATCACATCAATCAGGGTAACGATTTCCGTTTAACATTAGCCCACTTACTTACTCACTTTTTACCATAGCGTTACTATTTTATGTACTTATGAACTCCATGCTTTTTACTTAGCAATTTTTTTATTTCCAAACGAGATACATTTTATTATAGACTTTGAAATTTTTTATTAAGAGGTTTATTATTTAAGAACGAAGAAAGCGCGCCAAAATTTGATATTTGTCAGCAAAACTTTTCTTTCTTGAGGTTGATTGTGAAGTGGTAGGGTGGTGAAAAATGACACATCGCTGCAAAGTTTTATAAATTCATACTCAAAAGTTTCATAGAAAGGTAAGTTTGTACTTTTTATAATAAGTAAAGGTTGCAAATGTAGTTTCATAAAAAATCTACTTATGATCTATATAGTTGTTTACGTGTTTGTCTTGATTTTAATTCGTTTGGTGAATATTTGTGCTAATATGGGTGACTTTAACCCGGGCGACTGTTAAAAATAAGCCGAAGAATATGCCAAGAACATGCACAAATAGCCCTTCGAGAACTGCTAGAAGCTTCCACGGTGATTAACCTTCCTATTACTCGTTCTTTATCACCTATTCCTGGTCCTTCAAACATAAAATCGACATACTCAGTTGACCTACCTACCAATCATCTTCCATCACCCACAGCTGAATTCTCATTTAATATTGAAGCTACCGTCTTTCGTACTCCACCACCTACTATCTCATCTCCATCTCATCCCACTACTATATATCATCACTCATGGATCGTGTTGCATCATTATTTGAGCAATTAAATTTGGCTACTGGATCATAGAATGGGGTGATTAACAACTGTAACTATTTAATTTCTACCGAAGCATTATGGCGTTGTTGCTTTTTTTATAATTTTAACATGCCACTTTTTGCTAAATAGGATGAATAAAGACTGATTTGTAATAATAATTAGAAGATAAATAAGTTCTTATAAATTAAGGTCCTTTTCAGACGCACATTGAATTTTACTGACAAACCTAAATTTAAAGCTTATTTTTTTCGTAAGCAGCTGTCATAAGATGGCGACCTAATTTATTTATATAAAAAAGAAATCAAATGTTATGACAGGGCTTTAAATGTAAAAATACATCAAAATTGTATTGCCAGTTCTTATAGTGGCAAAGTTACCCCACTCTCAATATAACATTGGCCTACAATTTTTTTGTCAATTTTGTGAGATTTTCACTTTATTCAATTGTAAATTTCAATTGTAAAAGTTTAAAACCCACGGAAAATCCATATTTTTTATTAATATCCAGTAAAACTGAGACAATACGTACAAAATTGTTCGCATGGCGGGACAAAGTTACCCAGATGGACGGTACTACTCTCAAAATATCATGGAGTTAATAAGTACCTACAACAAAATATTATGTGTAGAATTTATGTCAATCTATGACTTTAACATAGATAATGGACTTTTTGGCGGGAACGCGCGGAGTGAAATTTGTGATTTGTTTTATTTTATCTATTTAATGTTTCTTCAGGTTTAAATGTGTAATAACGGTGGTTTATTAACTGTCTAATATCTGTGAAAGTGCACAAATGTGGGAAAATGAAACAAAGCCGCTGAACGTAACTTTTCGGGATCCTCCAAAAAGTCCACTGAAAAAATCTTAGTAAATGGCCACCATTTTACTGAGATTATATTTCATCTCATCTTATTTAATTTAATTTCATCCCAGTTGATTAATGTCTTATATTAATCATCTTCATTTCATTTCACTCCATATTATAATTTTTCATAAAAATAAGAAGATAAATTAAAGTAAGACATGACTTAAAGGTCTTAGTTACCAGGTCATGAAATCACGTAAAAAAATAACATAGATAATACATTAAATTACGTTAACATTGATTAACAATACAACCAAACGTAAAATCTTAAATTGTTTTCTGACCTACTCATTATTAAAATTAGTTAATTATGTCCACATACAATATCTGTGTACGTTTTTTTTTCATTTTTCTCTGATTAAATTGTTGTCTGGACAGATAAATAGTGTTTGAGTGTAGGTGTTAGTGGTTTTGGTAATATTTCAATATTCTTAATAACAGGGCTAATAAAACAGCAAATTTCTTTGAAATGGAGTTTCCCACCTTACCCTTTAATGCGTCAGATTCAAATGATTATCCAGGATCTGCTCAAATCCCACTGTCAAGCTCAAAAGACGACAGTAAACGGCGCAGGTATGTCTATGCACTTATCCTTTTTGTTCGGCACTATTTACATATAGATATCAATTCTTTATCATTATTATTATTATTATTTTAGTTCATCAAGATCCATCAAGAGACGTCGTTTTGATGATGAACTAGTTGAATATAGCTTAGGATTGCCGGGGGCTTCAGTTGGGAAAGGTGACAAAAGAATGCGCACACAATCTTATACCAGTAGTAGTCTACCAGATTTACCAATCCCTGCTAATGTACCGGTTACATCTAATAATACTACACATGAGCGCCGACGTCACTCTAGCAAAGTTTCTGGAATCATGAGCGGCGGGAAGAAGGCCCGTCGTAAAGGGCACCTCAGTCAATTGTCAACTAAAGATTTAGGTCGCTGGAAGCCTACTGATGACCTTGCTTTAATTCTAGGAGTTCAACAGGTATGATTTGGTAGAGCGCATAGCAAACATATTTTATATTACTGTAGACTCCTCAAAATTGTGATAAAAAGAAGCTGATAAAGAAATAATTAAATTTCAACATTATGAATTTGAAAAACAATATTTTAAGACACCTTAACATATCATTGTAGACAAATGACCTCCGTATAGTACATCGAGGTATCAAATTCTCATGCCGATTCACAGTAAGTGAACTACAATCCCGATGGTATGCTTTACTCTATAATGCGGAAATATCACGAGTGGCAGTGGCTGCTATGAGAAATCTTCATCCAGACTTAGTTGCTGCAGTTCAACAGCAAGCTTTGTATTCGACAAGCGAGGAGGAGTTGCTTGGAACATTGAGTAGTGTAAGTTAAAATAAAAAATTAATACCAGCCTAGATAGGAATACCAAACTGATTTTAATATTATGTTATAAATCAAAATGAATATTAAACTTTTTAGTAGTAGGTAAAATAACACTTCAGTTATTGATATTTTCATTATTTTATTATTTCTAAATAATAAAACAGATTAATTTCTCTAGAAATTAAAAATAAAACAGATTAGAAGCAGCGATTGCAGCCAATTTATAATTAAATTATAAAGTAATGTCAGTAATAAACTAATACATTGCGTAAGGTATGTTTCTCAGATCAATTGATGTTGAAGGTAATTAGAAAACAATATTATTTTCAGACTTCACATCCAACTTTGGAGAAATTTCAAGAGTTACTTGATCAGAACCCTCATGTATTCTACCCGACGAGAACATCTAAGACGTTGATGGCACACTGGCAGCTTTTAAAACAATATCAGCTCTTGCCAGATCAAACTGTGCTACCTTTACCAAAAAGTAAGCCATACATTTTGAATATAGCTTAGTTCATTTATCACCTTATACATTAAGAGTCCTATTATTTTAATTCTAATCAAACCAAATTAAAGATTGGTATCCACAAGAATTCATTAAGAAGGAATAACTGTGAATCACCAAAAATATATAATTGAAAATATTTTAACTCATTGTACCTGAACTGTACAATTGAACTGACAAATCAAGGTGGCCTAAATAAAAAGACCCCCAGTGTATATGTTTAAATGTATTAAAATGTATGTAGTCTTAACTAAACTGCCATTTAAAAAAATATATGAAGTACTTTTTTTTTTTTTTTTTATTGCTTAGATTGATGGACGAGCTCACAGCCCACCTGGTGTTAAGTAGTTACTGGAGCCCATAGACATCTGCAATGTAAATGCGCCACCCACCTCGAGATATAAGTTCTAAGATCTCAGTATAGTTACAACGGCTACCCCACCCTTCGAACCGAAACGCATTACTGCTTCACGGCGGAAATAGGCGGGGTGGTGGTACCTACCCGTGCGGACTCTCAAGAGGTCCTACCACCAGTGTTCCACTTGTGTACCACTTGTGTTCTTTTCTGTAGATACTATAATAATATTTAATATATCTGGTTCGTATAACATGTCAAACATATTAATATAGATATTTGTAACGTAATAATAAATTAATTAGTACATTAATATACATTAAAAACATTTGTAATGTATTTCCAGATCAGAATGACAAAGTGTTGACATTCTCTGATGCTGAGGAGACAATGAATGATAATGAACTTCCTGACTACAAGGAAGATGGAGTAGACCTAGAAATGCAAATGGCTGACAGGTTAACTTCTTTATAATACTGCTACTGTAGATTATGTAAACTTTATAGTAAATGATTACATACAATTCATACAATAACTAATATAATTCTCACCTACATTGAGATAATGATAAGTACATATCAAAACATAAGGCACAATATTTAAAATATTTCCTCTTAGAGATAATTTATAAAACAATTTGGATAATACATAAGCCCACAAAATCCACTGGGCTAAAAGCTTTCCTTTTATTTCAATTTATTTGAATTTCTTTAATTTCATTAATTTAAATTATCCATCTGTTTCTCTTTTTAAGTAGAACAATTTTCTAAAATGCTTGTAGAATTGAGAAGAAAAATATACGTCTACTGGAAAATTCATTGTCTCGGTGGCAAGTGTTGGTACAGTCGGTGGCTGGTGGTAATGTTGAACTTGACAAGAACACACTGGCAGTGCTCCGTGGTCGTCTAGTTCGATATTTAATGAGGTCCAGAGAGGTAAGGTGCTCAAACTATATTAGCAGCTTCAGTAACTCAATTTCCGTGACATTTGTATTAGTCTAATGTGGCAAAAATCACAAATAATGTTCTTATAAAATAGATTTTTGTTAAAATAACAGATTTTTGACAAAACCTTATTATAAATTTTGTTCTTGTTTAATAGGTTCAGGTCAGTTTACAATGCTACTAATAAATATGCTATGGTAGGACTAGAATCCGGCTACAATTATCAGAATTACTAGAATTAGAACTAAAAAAAAATATCATTTAGTATTTTGCTAAAATATTTATAATATTTTAATAGTCTTTACCTATGAAATTATCGTTTAGTATACATAAACTGAGAGTAATTTTTTTATTAGGTAATATTTTTATTTCTATCAATCAAAATATGCATCCAATACCGTATTGATGCGTCTTTGCCAGGGTAGTGGTTATTGTAATTAGTATTTCTGTCAATAGCCAATTACTGGCACTAGATTTAAAAAATATTTTCCGATAATCAATTATAATAATAAAAATTACATAGGCGGCACTAAAAATTTCGGGAATTAACGAAGTGACACAACATTACTATTTAAAAATGTATTTATTGCTTTTCGAAGTATTCTCCGCGGAATTTGACACATTTTTCCATACGATGGAACCAATCATTGAAGCAACCATTCCATTCGGAAGTTGGGGTCTCCAAAATGGCCGTTTTGTAGGCGTCCACAGCTTCTTCAGGTGTTGAAATTCTCTGTCCACGCAATTTATTCTGTATTTTAGGGAAAGTATAGAAATCACTAGGGCTTAGGTCGGGGCTGTACGGCGGATGGTCTAATAATTCTATGTTTTCTTGCTCTAAAAACTCTTTTGTTCTGTGCGCGGTGTGAGAACTCGCATTGTCGTGATGGAGGATGATGCGGCGGTTGCAGTTCTCTTTACGGAGTTTCAGAAACGACCTGTGGCAAACAAATGCTAGCATACCATTCTGCATTAACCGTTCTTTGTCCCTCAAGAGGAATAGTCGTAACATGGCCGGTTTTGGAGACAAACGTGGCCATCATTTTTTTTGCAACACTCCGTGAACTAACAATTTTTGTTGGCTTTAACTCATTTTCGAACACCCAAACTCGTGACTGGTTTTTTGTTTCGGGTTCGTACGCGTATATCCAGGATTCGTCACCTGATACAATGTTGTATACAGCATATGAGGATCCTGCGTGGAATCTTTCGAGAGTTCTGACGCACCAAGTAACGCGAGCCGCTTTTTGCTCTTCACAGAGCGAATGCGGTATCCATCGAGAAAACAACTTTTTTACACCTAATTGTTCATGCAAGATTATTTGTATTTGACTCATGCCAATGTCTAAAGTTGCCTGAATTTCGCGGTATGACACATGTCGATCTTCCTCAATCAGCTTACGCACAGCATCAACGTTTTCTTGGGTGACTGCAGTTTTTGGACGACCTTGACGGGGATCATCACTGAGCTTGACACACCCACGTTGAAACTCAGCAAACCAGCGATAAATTGTGGTTTTGGATGGGGCTTCATCAGCAAATGCATAAATCATCCGGTCAACACACTGTTTTTGTGTTAAACCACTTCGAAAGTCATAATAAATCATCGCTCTTGAATTTTCTCGAGTCAATTCCATTTTCTCAACGACTAAACACGTTTGACAAAACCTCGTGAAAAGACCGAGAATCTTTTTTTAAATAAATAAATGGTATTCGATTTTTAAAACCAAGGATTTTTCAATTAAAAAGATTTTAATATGACAGGAACAGTGGAAATATTCCATTCCCGATACTTTTAGTGCAGCCCTCGTACAGTAGATTGGGGGGAATAGAGACGTGTTAGAATAAGGACAAATTTGGGATGTCACAATGGTTTTGATGAGTTGTTAGATTTAACTTTGTTGAACTGAAAATGCCTTTTATTTAGTGTTTAAGAATATTGAATAGTTTAATTTAGTCATCAAAGTTTTATAATTCATTATGGATATTAAAAAGTTAATTACCTAAAGTTAGGTACCTAACTAACAACAAAATAGTGTCAGTGCCAGCCCTATCGAAAAACTATTGTCCCCCAACGTAACCTGATTCACCCCAAAGCCAAAGGTGAATCGGGTCAAGCTAGTTTTTTCAGTTTTTGTGTATATTTCGTAATGAACTATGTATAATAACACATCTATACATATAAATAAAATTGGAGTGTCTGTTTGTAATATTGAAATAGCCTCGTTTTACTACATGCATATGAATATATATACGGTACATACACCAAAATAACATTTTTTACAATTTTTGTTTGTCTGTCTTTCTGTTTGTTCCGGCTAATCTCTGGAACGGCTGAACCGATTTTGATGGGACTTTCACTGATAGGTAGCTGATGATATAAGGAGTAACTTAGGCTACTTCTTTTAGACTAGCTTCGCCCCGCGGCTTCACCCGCGGTAAGACAATAACCGCGGGTAACATCGCGGGATTCAGCTATCAATAATAAAATTTAATGTTTCCGAAGCGAAGCGAGGGCGGTTCGCTAGTCGTATATAAAAATGTAAGCCTCTGGAACCGTTTTAATCTCAATTCTATTTGTATTTACCCTAAAAAAACCATTGAAAATTTGTGTTGGATTTGGAAAGGGTCCCGATTCCCCTCAATCTGCGGTATCCAGCAATTTTTGACCACTGGTCATTTGGCGCCCCTTTGTCTGTAGCGCCCGCATGACGAAGCCCCCCTTTTGCCCGCTCCCTGGCTACGCCACTGGTTTAGAGACGGTCTTTTGTAGATTGAGTATCGTCAGCTTCAACTACCGCCTTTAATAGGTCATTGTTGACTTTATTTTTCGAGCGACCACGGAGATCATTTTTTAGATCAAAAGTTTCATGTAGGAATCGTTCAAGCTAATAATGAGTCGTGCGTTCGTTTGTAGTGTTCACACATTAGACACGTATTTAATGTTGTGAGCCGTTTGTCCCGTATTGCGACGGAACTCGTTTTCCATAATTACTCCTATTATTATCACGTCCATTTCGATGAAAAACATACAAATGTAGAGAAAACAAAACACTAATCAATAAACAAATGACTGATTTGAAAATAGAATTCCATATTTTTTAAATAAAATTCATTTGAATTTAGAATTGATTGCCAACGATAGATAAATTACGTTTCAAATGGCCAGTATTTTAAAACGGCGGCCTTATATGTTATTATTGTAATCTCTTTAAATATCGTTTTAACTGGCTGGCATTTGATGTTTTCCTAAAAATATTGTGTATATACCGAAAAGAGTGAATTTCAATTTTATTGGAGCGAGGTCAAAATAAATACATTGAGTAATTGAGAAATTTTTAGAATAAAATATGATGGGCTCTGTTGTGCAATATTGGCTAGCTTGGTCGTATTCGTTTGCAATTATAATATTTATAATGGCTGACAGCTGCCATTCGCCGTAACTGTCTAGGTTGATATCAAAATCTGTAGATTAAATACCTTATACAATACTTTCAGTTCGTAAGTAGCTGGAATAGTCTCTTAGGTTACCAGTGATCAGGTAAGGGAAAAAAAGCTTTACGAGTTACCATTTGGTAAGACGAAAGCAAACTTATTAAAAACTGACTAGTCTCTTCTTTTGATCATAACTTGTCATTGTGACAAGTTTTTTCTCCAGGGTTTAGTTACAATTTTTTTTTCTGATTCCTTGTTGAGGCTGACAAGCATACGGCCCACCTGATGGTGAGTGGTTACCGTCGCTCATGGAAGTCAACAATGCCAGGGGCAGAGAGAGCCAAGCCGTGTATTACGAATAGCGTTTCTGATTATCGTAAACGATTTATTTTTGATCAGCAGTAATGATACAGATTTTTTATTAAAGTGCCGGTTTCATAATTTAACATCCTTTGATGCAGGTTTTTGTTTGATGGGCTACAACTCAATCCATGCGTTACGCTCATCTCCACTTTCTCATCTATCGCAATTTGATGACTTTAGCATATTTGGAGGTGTTTTTAAAACGGTAATGATGTAATAAATAAAAAATGCAACGAGTCGTGTCTTACCATATTATTGATCTATTAGCTATATCCGAAACTTTTGTTCAAAAGTAACGATAGTAATCTTTTAAATATTTCCACTGTTGTGAAGAAAACGTATTTTGAATTTATCAAACAAAGGCCGAAGGTATCAGTAACAGGTAACTACAGTACAGTAACAGCTCAGGTATACCGAAACAGCGACGGTACCTTCACACGCCTATCCACATGATACAGGAGCCTTCAGATCTACTTTCGGAAACTCCAGACGCTAGGGCAGACTGAAAACTCCGCACCCAAGGATGATAGCTAAAGTTACACCTGTTTGGGGACTGACAAGGCTGCAAACTATCGTCAGGATAGGGAATTTCCGTTTTCTGATCCTTCCATATACAGCTTAACTCTTAATCAACAAGCGCTATAAGAAAGAGAAAGAATAACCTTTTACCTCACAGAACCCACTTCACCGTTGTCTACCCTTACGATTATCTCACTGAGTCTTTCGAGTCGTCAGCATGCCTAGAAGTTGAGCAGTAGCTCTACTTCTCAACAAGAGAAGCTGTATCTTATACTAACTTAAAATTACACAGGTGTATTGAAGTGAAACTTCCTTATCGGCGTTGGAAAAAAATTTATCGTCACATTTTTCGGTTACGCGTCACTTTTTTCCGTTACGCGCCATCTGTTTTGTATTCATGTCTATGATAATAAAATCCTTTTGTTTAAACTTTATCTAATTTAACTTTTTTGTATTCATGTCTATGATAATAAAATCCTTTTGTTTAAACTTTATCTAATTTAACTTTATTTAACCAATTTCTAGAAAGTTGCATGTAGATCATTTTTCGAAAAATAAGGCCATAAACAAGTTTCACTTCTTACGTGTGTACACTAGTACACGCACACATTTTTTTACGAAATGCTATGTTTGTATAAACCAGGATTATCTGGAAATCTTGCAATCATTGGGAA